AAAAATGATGTAAGATCATTATGAAAGACTTGAGAGGAAGTTCATAAAATGCAAAGCATTTTGTATTTAGGATTTGGCTATGGACTTGTTAACCATAAATCTAAACTACTGCAGTATGCAACATTGAAGGCTCTTTTTTTTCTTTATGTCACACTAAATTTCTGATTTTTTAATTTCATACCTACCCAAAGCCCAAGAACCAAGCAAGTATGGAATCATACTAGAGTCTAGAAAATAAAACCTTTACTATGAAAATAATGCTTCATATGTATATGTTTGCTTTTTTCACGTGTGTACTAAGGGTTGAACCCAGGGCCTCTTCCATACTAAGCACACAGTCTACCCCTGAGCTATACTCCAAACTGCTATTTTTACAGCTTTTACTCAGGATTCAATAAAGAAAACAAATATTGAGGATTTCAAACAGGATATCTGATACAGAGAATGGATTACACAGATGATAGAAACTGAAGAAACACAAGAGGGAATTATGAAATCACTTGTAGATTAATAACCTCAGTGAAATGTCTCAGTCAAGCCTAGGACTGGAGAAAAAAAGTGAGACATCATATAAGGAAAACCAGGGTGCAGCAGGGTATGGTGGTTCAAGCCCGTAATCCCAACACTCTGGGAGGCTGAAGCAGGAGGACCTCAAGTTGAGCCCAGCCTGGGCAAATTAGTGAGTCCCTGTCTCAAAATAAAAAATAAAAAGGGCAAGGGATGTTACTCAGTATGAAGGCCCTGGGTTCAACTCCCAATACCAAAAAACAAAAGACCAGGGAGAAGCAAGCCCTCAGAGGGTTCTCATGAGGCCTGGGAGCACCTAAATATGCTGGATGCCTCTGGAGAAGACTCTTCTAGAAGAGCCACTGTTGGGTTCATGAACCTGAAATAATATACTGCAGAATTCACAGCAAAAAATATAGACAAACAAGGAATAATCCAGTTGAAGTTTTAAATTAAAAGCGAACACTCATGGTGACTTGTACCTGAAACACCAGGTTTAATACCAGGTTTAGGACTCTGCCAAATGGCTAATTCCACTCAGTTTGGAGGTGATACTGCAAATATAAATAGGATAATCATGCCTTCCAGTGATAAGCATTTAAGAAAATGCAGTACCCATTTGTAAAATATTCAGAAATATTTTCTTTATGTCTTTAGGTCATTTAGAATCTAAGAATTTTAGAGTGTTGTCTTTATTTAACAGAGTGCATAGCTTTGTGCCTGAGGCAGTCATACTTAAATTGCAGTAAATCAAATTCACTGCACTTAGAATGCTCCTGAGTAAGATTAATTGAAAATAGCAGAAAACCTTATTTCTTTTTGTCAACATCAGAAATACTGAGAAGAATCTCCAATAAAGGAACTTTTATTTCAGAATGTGATTGCAACCTGGAACACACATGCACAGGTCTGAGAGGCCTCTGGTGTGTTCAGAAAACAATGAAAAAGTTGGGGTTTTCATTAGGACAGAAGAAAACACTTGGTATTCTGGAGCTTGGGGGAGTGGCAAGCTGTGAATGGTGGAAGTCAAGTTACTGTAGGAAGCTGTCTTGAGGTCCTAGCCAGCAGTCCCCCACCAACCCACAGTTGCTAAGAAGGAAAGAAGACAGCCTTAAGGCCTAGAAGGGTTTTACAGTGCAGGCCTTCAGAAAATAGTAACCTACGCTGGCTTTTCCCCATAAAATGGCCTCTTAGCACTGTTCTTAGCACTGTTTTAAATGGGTGCGTTTTCATTTGCTCTATTTCCACACCTTTAGGGTAAATAAAATTTCAGATTGTGTTTGCTATGATAGTTAATGTTGGGGATGGCTCTAAGGAATGCATTGTGAGGTGATTATATTTTATTGTTGTGAGAACAGCAGAGTCTACTTACAACAAACGAAAGTGTTACTACGTCAGTGTCACTAGTTGATATAATCTTATGGGACCACACTGGAAGCTAAGTAAGTTAACCTCAGAAGTAGAGAGCAGAATAGTGGGTACCAGATGCAAGAATGGGCAGGGGGACAGGTGATAGGGTATAAACATATGTTAAATAGGAGAAAAAGCTCCAGCACTCCCTAGCACAGTGCAGTAACTACAGTTAACAAGCTATTGTACATTTCAAAACAGATAGAGGGGTAAATGTGAGATGGTGGGTATGCTAATTATTGATTGATCATTACACTTATACAGGCACTGAAATAACACTACCTATAAATATGTATGATTATTTTGGGTGAGTTAAGAATAATTTTTAAAAAGTTTTAAATTGTTATTTGTAGATAATTGTCCAAGAAATACCTTGGGGTATTATTCATTGCCTAAGTTTTAGATTTCTGGTGTCAGGTGTCCCTTATGATTCCACTGGATCCACTGCTTGTCTTTCCCTGCTGCCCCTGAACCTGTTCCCCTAGGACAGGGCCTGCTACAGCCAGACCCAGGGTCAGCCTCTACTCTGAGCCGGGCCAACCTCTTTCCTACAGCCAAAGTTTTGGGTTCACCACCACATAATGCTTTCCTGTCTTACTCCATTCCAGCAGCTGGAAAGAACACAGAGCTTGGCATGAGGTGAGAGGGTGAGGCTGCAGCGATGGCGCAACCAACACAGTGAGAGCTGGTGTCTCGGCGACAGCCTGGGAGGCCTGCTTTGGTTTACTAGAGGCCTACAGGAGTTGTAATCTTTGGCTAGTTTCAACTGCATTTTACAGAAAAGTGTGAACAGCTGGGGCTTGGAAAAGAATTATATACTATGTAACTTACCCAGTTATAGTCTCACAATTAATTGTTTGATTCTATTTCAACACTCGTAAAAAAAAAATGCAGTTATCATTTTGGACCTTTAATTTTTAGACTCAAAGTGTAAGCATGTTGATGTTAGTCTTTGGCTGGTTTAAAACACTCCTTTGAGGACAACACGCACTTTGTTTCTATACACTGATCTTTTCATATTTACCCCCTTACATAATGATGTCACTGTAGAAAAACTCTAGGGTAAGTTCCCAAGGATAATACACAAACCATGCTACAAAACTGGCATGATAAAGACACTACCACTACCTGATGGGCCCAGGATCTCCCTTTGGGGTGATGAAAATGTTTCAGAACTAGATAGAAATGGTAGGTGCACAACACTGCAGGTGTACTGAATGCTACTGAACTGTATTTTAAAATAGTTTCAGGTTATGTGAATCTTAGTAAGAATGTATTTTTTTAAGAAGCTAAGAAAAGGAAGCGCTACTGTAAATCCCTGAAAAGCTGCAAACTTTCACAGGTGTTCTGTATCACCTTTGTTGGACCAAGGAATGAATCCAACTTAATGAATGTTCTTCTGGGATGGCACTCATTACTAAACTGGGGACTTACTATACTGGATTTTGTCTCTGCCACCACTGAGCATTAAAATCGCAAAACCTGATGTTATTGCAGCCACTAACACCAGCCCTAACACTGTTTCTGTATTAGGAACATGACCTTACAACCATGAGGCCCGCTGACAGCCAGATACACATGTCAAAACTCATCCCAGCATATGGAAAACTGCACAGGACTTTGCTTCATGTTGCCAGTGCAGATGCTTTTAATTGGAAACAAGGTCATGGTCTGCATTGCAGAACCGAAGGAGACATGAGGAAGCAAGACTAGTATCACAGAGATTCACTAAAATATAGTCCACTCAAGATTGTGGGCCTCCACAAAGACAAGTACTCAGTACATCTTCCTAGCTATCTGTGTATGCTGAGATTTTAAGTTACAAGAGAGGCTGGAAGAACACTTGCCTAGCATGAGAGGCCCCAGGTTCAATCCCTCTCACTGAAGAAAAAAAAGTAATGCCAGAACCAAGCAAACTAGTAGTATTCTTTTTTTAGAGTGAAAAAATTCCTTCACTAGTATTTTTTTTTTTTTTTTTTTGGTTTTGGCTTTTCTCCGGTACCAGGAACCGAACTCACAACCTTGCACTTGCCAGGCAGGTGCTTTTGCCGCTGAGCTAAATCCCCAGCCCCTCCTTCACTAGTATTAACCATATTATTTTTAAAGTATATTGAGCTTAACTATAAAATTAATTTTGGGGGAGCCAAGCATAGTGTTGCATGTCTGTAATCCCAGCACTCTGGGAGGCTGAGGGAGGATCACAAGCTCAAACCCAGCTGGGCCAACTTAGTGACTTAGCAAGCCCTTGTTCCAAAATAAAAGATAAAATAGAAATGTAGCTTACTGCAAGGGTCCTGGTTCAATTTCTGGTACTGCAATAATACTAATTATTTGGGTCAGAAATTAATCGTAAATGATGAAAAGTACCTCCAGCAAAACCATGTTTGCAAGCCACCTAACTCGACCCTGATTATCTGTCCTTTGAAGCTTCAGAGTGTGTACAACTGAAATTGGTTCACTGGCTTGTTCTCTCAAATTAGGTATTTACAGAACCACTGTGGGACCATAAAGCTAATTGTTCTTCCTCCCTCTGGAGTTCTGCTCAGGAACTACTGGCTTCAACAATAAAGGGAATTTGTGGTGCCCATATCCTATCAAGGGGGAACAGGACAGGATGTATATTTGACAAGAAGTTTAGTTAGGACCTTCAACTGGTGTAAGTAGAGAGTAGTGCTGATTCAATTAAGGCTTTTCCTACAACTACTTCAAATTTCAAAATTATTTATAGGTTTTCAAACTCACACAACAGATCTCCATTTATGCAGTAAGTTGGTCTTTTGTGGGATGCTTGGATAATGAAAAGCTAGGATAATCCATGCAAATCCTACCTCTTTTTTTTCCAAAATACACATTAGAAATTTAAATTCCAAACAATTCTTCTATCGAAAAATTAGATTTAGTGAAAGCCAACCAGCTACAAGTTTTTGAAATTTAAGTTCCAAATAATTCTTCTACTGAAAATCCTAAGATTTAGTACAAGTTTTAAATGTTTATAGAATACTGAGCCTTATGGATGTGAGACTCCTATTTAAAAGGCATGATTTTTAAAAACCTAAATTGACTCAGTTTATTTCCCAAAGTAGTTGATTCATGTGTTTAGTTTATTGCCACACAGAAGATACTTTACAAAATAATACGGTAGACCTCCACTTTGATATCTTTATGTAAAAACTTCACAGTTTAAGAAAGTGATCATTATTAGGTATGGAGACATCAAAGGCCAGCCAGCATTTTAAATTATGGGGCAGAAGATTTTTGCTAACCCTCCCTAAAAAATGTTGGCATGTTCATTAACTGCCCAGGTCATAAAAGTCAGCATCCACTTCTTGACCTTCAACATATTTTTATATCTACCTTGGCTAACATTAATGCTGGTAGACAAAAGGGTGCATACGAGAATTTAAAAACCATTTGGGCAGCCCAGTGACTTAAAACCAACCAGGAAAAAGCTCTCCCAGAATTAATTTTGTCCATTACCACAATAACAAAGTAAAAAGATGTTAACCTTAAAAAGCCAAAGGAAAACAATTTCACTTTTCCTTTGAAAACATTTCTTAGCTCTCAACTATACAGAGAAAAACTAATTTTCTTGGGGTAGGGAAGATTATCTCATAAGTAAAAACATCAAGTTTAGTTGTACAAATATCTAATTTAGGAAAGAGTATTTTAATTCAAAGGATTCTAAAATATTTCATCCCTACAAGTTTAAAGCTAAAAAACTGTAATGCACTGAACTAATATAAGTCAAGCATTAACATATTCTATTGCTTTCCACAAAACCCATGCTAAGAAACAGCAGTAGGTGAGGGAAGATGTGTATCTTTTTCAACACTGAGTCAGATTAGATACAAAGCCCTGAGCCACTGGCAGGTCTCTGAGTCTCATGATCCTCTTCTCTTAAATGAGGGCTGGGACTAGCATCCCTTCCAAATCTACAGATTTACATACTTTTTTTTTCCCTGACAGGTATAAGAATTCTACTTTGTGGTATATGATTTGACTTTTTAAAAAACTTTACTTATTTAAGATGCAGTGTGATTTGATACACGTATAAAATGTGTAGTTTCAATGAATTTCCCCACCGTCTTAAAAGATGAGGAGTGAAGTTCACAGCCTCCTGGACTTGCCTGTGGATGATGTGATCAGCAGGGACAGCCTGGGCTCTGGCTCCACTTCTGTGTGTCTCTAGGTCACTCTGTACCACTTGCTCTTTAGCATTTTGTTTTGAAGACCAATAAAGTTATAATAATATCTCAAAGTACTTATAAATTACAAATTACTATACAAATGCAAAAGACTGTTGTAATAAACACAAGTGGAGCTTTCCCTGATAACAGAATTTGGACATTTTTAGAAAATATATGTTCTTTCTTGCCTCTTAAACTAAAAACAAGGAGACCCTTTGGCACCAAACAATTCTCCTACAGTATTTTGTTCTCTTGCTTCTAATGATGCATCTAGCTGTACCAAGTCTGAGATCAGGGGTCTAGAAATCTGACCTTTAAATAAGTGGAAACCAAAACCTAAAGATCTCTCTGTTACTTCAGAGCTGTCCACTTTAAAAGAGCAGTTCTAATCAGGCAAAAATCAGACTCACATTAGAAATGTTTTACAAATTGAGATCCCTGGGCTATAGTCCTAGAGGTTCTGATTATGTCTGGAGTGGAACCCAGAAAAATCCTACTGTTTTCAAAAGCTCCCCAGGTAATTTCAGCAATTAATTCAATTTTAGGGACTTGATGCTTTGCCTTAAATCTATTCTTTGTAATTTTAGTACCTGCTAATTTGTTCTCCTTGCACTAATCACAAGCACACTTGGAACAGACTGCCATGATCTTGCCGTAGCTCCACAGGAAGCTAGTCATTAACATCTATTTCAATCAAATTATAAAACGACTGACTGAATTCAGAACTAAGGAGGCTGGTTCTACACCTACAACTGCGCTATGCTTTACTTTCAGTTGGTCACTGATAAACATGAAAAGCATTTTATCAGTACTAAAAAAAAGATGGTAGAACTCCAAATAACAGAAAGACAGCTAACCAGCTAATAAGTATTATTTAGAAAATGTTTCTAGTAGACGTAAGTGAAACATATATATATATATATATTTTTTTTTTTTTTTTAAGTACCCACTTCTTATATAAACCCAAAGACTTCCATGGTTCTGAAGTCTACCATAAAGAATAAAGTTGACCAAACTACGGTTGTTTAAAAAATATGTTCAATTAACTGTGAAAATACACATGTAAAATAGGTGTACCCTTATCCTTTAACAGGCACAAATAGAATTCAGTTTCCATTTATTCTACTCAAAGAGTTAACTGTGAAAATGACATATGAAGTATTTGGTATAATAGAGGTGTGAACAGTATCTCCTCCAAATTTAGCATCGAAACCACACTTGGACTTTTCAGGTGTCCCAAGTGCCTCAGGTGCTGCGGAATGTTGTCATGTCCTTTGGCTCTCTGCTGGGGACACACCAGTCGTCAGCCTCGTGGTTGGTATTGTAATGCTTCCAGGCAGCTTTGTTGTATACTGGGAGTCTCTCAATTGATTCTGTTGACAGAGCCTGAAAAAATAAAGCAGGACCTCTAAGTCGGGCATTTTTAGGAATTCATTTTTTGAGAAAATATTCAATGCAAAAAGATCACTGCAAATTAAATAGTCTTGGTATCCTGTTAATCACAACACTATCTATAAACATTTTTAAGGTGTACATATTTGAATCATGTTATTTACCAAATTATGGCATTAACTCATTTGCATGTTGACTAAATTTCTTGCCTGCAGTAATTTCCAGCCAGCCTGGAAGGTGCCAGATTGAAGTTTTAACATGAGTGTATTAGATGCCTCTTAAAAGCATGAGCCAGAGCAGAAGTTACATATTTGAAAGTCAGCTAAGTACAAAGCATAAAAAATGGACATATGAACCTTAATATATGTTGACACATTTAATGATATCTACTTTAATTACTGGTAAAAATAATTTTTTTCAGTATAGTAACCTTACTTTTAAAAACTCATCTTAATATTATTAACAGCCATGTGGGATGGCACATTCCTGTTAAGCCTAGCTACTTAAGAAGCCAAAGCAGAAGACTGCAAGTCCAAGGTCAGCCTGGACAACTCAGCAAGACCTGTCTCGAAAAACAGAAAAAAGACTGAGGATGTAGCTGAGTGTGATGGTCCTGTGTTCAGCCCTCAGAACTGCAAACTTAATTAATTAATTCAGTCAGTACATATAAAACTATGTCTAAGGCATCTGGGCTTTTGCATGAATAATTCTAGACCCTGGGTTTGATCCTATTTTCTTCTGAAATTAAAGCCACTAATTTTAGTCATATAATATCTGATTGCTATATTATGCATAATTTCATACTTCCAATATATCACTACCATTAATACACTGTTCTATTTCAGCTTCCTGTACATCACTGGAAGCTGCAATAAACTACATTCCCAAGTTGGGGGTGTGGCTCTATGGCAGAGCACTTGCCTAGCACATGTAAGAGCTTGGAGTCAACCCTTAGTATTGAAAAAAAAAAAAAAAAAAAATTACATTCCTTATGATGTTCCTAAAGTCAGGACTTTTCAGTATTTCAACCTCAGACCAATCACTGGTATTCTCTGAGATGCAGAAAATATTAAACCAAAAATTTCAGTCTGATAATCCAAAGTATTATCTTTGATGTTGGTGTTAACATTTATTGTCTGCTATTTTTTTCCAAAATGGAACTAAAAATCTTTCAATTATGTGTTCTTTTTATAAACTGTTGAATTTCTTGATCTACAGGCTGGTTAAAAATGCCACATTTGGTGATAAAAATGTTGCCATTTTAAAGTTCCTCATTACTGACATGGTTAAGGAAAAACAGAAGTATTATCTACAAAGAACTTACTCTTCAGATGAATTTATTTTTTCTCAAATTCTCCAGCATTTCCTATAAAACTGGTGCCACCTAGTGGTCACACAAGCAACTAGCGTCACTAATATAGGCACCAGTTGTCTGTGGCTCACCCCACAGCTTTTCCATCCCTGTAAAATATACTGAGCCCTCCCTAAGTGCACTGAATACCACAAGTCAGTAGGCTAAGAGCTTCTGCTCCTACCAGGTAAGCTATCTGCTTACTAAGTCACCTGTGCTTGTTCCCACATCTGTTTATGCACTGACATCTGTCACTGTAATTGTAACATTTAATCAAGTACTACAATAAACAAAGCACACACACACACACACCAAAAGGGAGGGTGTGATTTTTGCATTCAAAACAATGATGAATGTTTTGGAAGGACTCATGAGGGAAAATCTGCTATCAAGACGGGCACGGTAGTGTATACCTGTAATCTCAGCTATGTGGGAGGCAGAGGGAGAAGGACTACAAGTTTGAGGTGAGTCTGGGCAACTTAGAAAATTAATGACTAGAGCTGTAGCTCAATGACAGAATGCTTGCCAAACACATACCAAGGCCCTGGGTTCAATCCTTAGAACTGCAAAACAAATATAAACAACAACCACAAAACAACTGCTGTCAAATCAATCAGAAGATATCTTTAAAAGATTATAAAAAACTCCCAAAAGATCAAACACTTGGTTATTTCTTCATTTAAAAAAAACTGAAATGGTGCATTGTAGGTACAGCTTGTGCAGGAAAGACAACATGTAGACCCCTATGCACATCAGAAGATTGGTGAATCAACATCCATTCATATGCTTCATGTTAAAATTACATATGCATGGCATATAACTTTATGATTTCTCAATTTCTCTTTCAATTACCAACCACAGTCCTGTTCATTACAGGTAAGAATGTTTCCGCAGTCAAGAAGATCAACTGCCAAAACAAGGAAGATCCCCTGTAAATGTTTTTGTATTCAAACAGCATAAGTAGAGTAAAATTTCTTTATAATTAAATTTGGCACTTTTTGTTATCACTGAAAGAAATTTGGTTAAATCAAGGAGACCAGTTATTACCTTAATGTAGATAACAGCATCTGTGCCATAGCCCTCCAAGGAATACAGCTTCAGGTCCCCCTGGAAGTACTGAGCATACAGACGCGATATGGGCAACCCATAACCAAAACCGGCCTGTTTGATGAGAAAAACAAGACCCTACTCAGCCACACACTGAAATACTTTTCTAATTAAGATAAATCCAGCTAGGGTTCTCCCCAGGGCTATCTGATCCTGCATGTGAGAGATCTGCTAACATGTAAATGTTAATAACGATTAAGCTGAAGCTTAGCTGAATACAGTAACTGATCCGTATGGTTATGTAAAACTCTTCATTCTTTCTATAACATGACTTCTGGTAGTTTAGAAAAAGCAGATTGCTTTTCTTCACTGGTCTGCTCTAGGGTATCCTTTCGGTAACATTATATAAAATATATTCTCTTTTTAGGAGCAAGAGTAGAAAAAGCTTTTTTTGTAACCTTAATAAATGTATCTCATGACTTTACACTATGTATTCCTAGCCTGTGTCCTGAACCAGAAGTAATCTACCATAGGTCTACTTTCTTAATTCTCATTGACAGGTCACTTCCTTGCTTAAAAATCTTCAAAGCATACCACCACTCCTACTCTCCCAACTCACTTCCTTAGTGATAAAAAACCAAGCTTCTAAAAAGAGCTCTCAAGACTTGATAAGATCAACTGCCTGCCTCCCACTTTCCCACCTACTAGAACCGTATTACCCACCCTTAAGTTCCTTAAACACATCACTTCTGTCTGTCGTCTTCATCCTGTCCCCAGTTGTGTGAAATGACCTCTTCCCAGATAAATTCTACTTTAAGCTCTTTAATATAAAACAAAACATAAGAATGAAGGTAAAAAGATTTCTATTACCAAGTCATATGGTTAGTGACAGTCCACACATCATTTTTGGAGTTTATATGGACTTAGCAATCAGTGCGTTATTAACAAACCTACAAGCTGGCTTTACCTTCCACTAGCTCTTGCTCAACTTTTCTAACCCGTGTTTCTATTTGTCCTCCAAGTTAACTATCCAGATTCCACACTGCTCCCTGCCCAGGGGGGCTGAGATGAATGGATTGATTATGTCAATGGATTCCCATGCCATCAGCTTCCTGAGGGTCTTGCCACTGAGGAAGCCCACAGAGGCCAAAGAAAAACAAGGCAGGTGTTCATTACCCAGGTTCCTGTGGAAATTTTCCTGCTTCTAGGTTATGTTCACTTTGTCTTCTCCTCATCCCTTTAATTCAGGCTTGTTATGTTACATCCAGATGTTCCCTAAGAGCCTCATGGGCTCATACATGGGACTTTTGGAAAGTGATTGGAAGTGACTGGATTAGGGGAGTTTACAGCTCACTGGCTGTTAGATGGGATCTGGTTGGAAAAGGTGATCTCTGGGAGTGTGTCCCAAACAGGTTTATCTCCCTCCTATTCCTCTTCTGACTGCACTTTCTGTTCTTTGTGACTACCATGCCCCTCTGCTATGCTGCCCTGCCTTGCACCCAGCTGACAGGACTGAAACCTCTGCAAACTGTGAATAAACCCTTTCTCCTTTAAGTTGCAGGTATCAGGAGTTTTGTCCCAGCAGTGAGGAAAGTGGCTAAGACAAGACTGGTGACATTTTTGCAGTAAAGAAGGCTATTTACAAAGAGACTAATCATGTGTAAGTGTGGATTAGGACAGTACAGGAACCCCGTCTCCCTGTAAGTAAGCCTTCCTTGAACTATCACAATTTGCACGTTACACTCATCTCCTCTTGAGGCTCTGCCTGAAACATTAACTGGTTCCAGAAGTGGCCCTAAGCAAATTGCATGAGCAGGTGATACCTGACCTGCTTTTTCACTGTCTACTGACCACACCTGAGGACTCATAGGACTTCATCTATGAATAGTTAATAGAAAAGAAAACAGCCTATGTGCTGGTACCAGCCCTACTCACCACAAACCTCTGAGGGGCACGGGCAGGCCTGAAAGACAGGTGAGAGTAAACCCTACCAGCTCGGGCAGTGGCAATAGGCTGGCTGGTTGAGGAACAAAAGCGGTAACTGACGAACAGGACAGTTCTGCTCTTTGTGTCTACCACGCCCCTGTGCTACGCTGCCCTGCCCTGGAAGACAGACATGTGGGTGCTCCTCTCTGAACAGGTTTTGTATTTCAAGATGTTCTTCCATGCAGATACCCACCAGAAGGCATCCATGTAGAGGAAGCACCAATAACCTCGTGGCCACTCCTGCATTTAACAGGCATCCTCTCTCCAGCTGCCCAGTGCTTGCTGAATGGGTCCACGTACAAAGTGGTCATGGCAGCAGGAAGGAGGCTCTGCAAGAACCTAACAGTCTCACTCTGGCCAAGGCTACACAGACATTTAGGGGAGCCTCTCCTATGTCCATCCTCTATTTCCTTAAAAATTCACATAAATCCTGTACCCTAAAACAATAATGATATGGTATTTACTATGAGCTAGGTACGATAAAAAGCATTTCTACATATATTAACTCCTTTAATTCTTACAATAACTCCATTCTTCAAGTTAGGGAAATAGTGAAGTCAATAACTGGTTCACAAAGCCATACACCTCTCTGATGTGTTGGAATCAGGAATGAAAATAGCTTAGATTCCAGAGCATGGAGGACTAGTCCCCTATGTTACTCTCCACACAAATTCTTCAGTATGTTTCCTACTAACCCAGCATCTCCCTTCTCTCCCCCTACTTCTTACAGTAAAACTAAAATTCTAAAAAGATGCCTGTGTTTATCATTCATCTGCCCTACGGCATACACATACCCACTCATGGGAGCTACACATCCCACATGGAGAAGCACATTCCTCAATCATTTCAAAAGTTTGCTGAGATGAGATCCCCGTAGTGTTTTCAGTGTCACAAGGAAAACTATCAGAATAAAGTCCTTCTGGTAACTTCCTAGAAAGGGGTCTAAAATAGATCCTTCATATACCATATTTCATCAGGGTACAGCTTGCCACCAGTGAATATGCCAAAAGTTGCAAAGCCTGAAAGAACAGAGTTCTTCTAGAATTAAAAGACAAACTTTGGCAAAGTGCTACTTTGTGAGATTAGGGGGTAAGGATAGTATAAAGTCAATTCACAGGCTCATTTTAGCCTGAAAATAGATAATACTAAGCTCAATAAAAACACCATCAAAATAATTATAATTTGAGCCTATTTCACACTAGTGATTAAACATTATCTGAATTTCAGTCTTATTTCTGGGTTTAGAATGTGACAACTTTCTAATTACAAATATTTGAGAAAAAAGGCAACATTAAAGATGAAATCAGTGTCAATCAAATACTAGTAAAGCCAATAACTTATCCTTCACATCAGAAAGTGTATCAAAATATAATAATCAATACTATTAAAACCAGTAGTTTATTCTTCAGATTACAAATAGTACACCACAACATGGTTTACCATAGGAAATCTGTTATTCACCATCAAGCTCAACAGCACGAACTCTAATAAAACAATCATCTTTCCTGTGCCCATTTCAATTTTTTAAAAAAGTGTTCTAAAGACTGTCTCAACTTTGAGGCAAGTGTGAGCTTCTAAGGGCTTCCCCTCTTCCTTGTGGAGCACCTTATACAATTAGCTTAGTTGGTTTACTGGGTAGCTGGAGCCTTTGGAAGGTGATTCACAGAATCTCAACTCGCTGTTTCTGGATCACATACCAGGGGCGCAGCTCGGGAAGTCTCCACACGTGGCCGCGGTGCAGTTGAATACATGTAGTTGAAGAGTCTGTCAATCTTCCTCAAAGGGACACCACCTCCTCGGTCACTCATCTGAGATTAAAAGAGGATCATGCTCTATGACCAGCTGTCATAAACAGCGAATTACAACCTGTACACAGCATCACAGTTTTAACTGCTGGAAGGAGTGCTGCTTTTGAAAGTCCAAGCTGCAAACACAAATATTTCATTTCCCTCGGTGTAGCAACAAAACTCCTTTAATATGTGAAATTCTAACTGTACTACACAAAGCACTGCTGTGGCTTTGTGCACCTATCTTTCCTCAAGCCCCAGTACCATGGCACTACAGCACAGAACTGGGCCAACTAACTAGCCTATCAGTTTGTTATTTCTTTCTGGTAGGCAATGAGGTAACTAGGATCAAATTAAAAGTGCAAGTACTCTTTGATCCTGCAATACTACTTCCAGAAATATATTCCAAGGAAACAAACACAAAAGTATGTGAAGTATGTGTGAGAATATGCATCATAGCTCTGAGTACTTCAAACTGAATAACAGCCTAAACAGGAGGTTACTTAAACCGCATTCTAAAATGGAATACTATTTAGCCATTTAAATATTATGTAGACCAGCCAGGCATGATAGTGCACACCTGTAATCCCAGCACTTGGGAGGCTGAGAAAGGAGGACTGCTCCAAGCTCGAGTCAGCCTGGACTACACAGAGTGACCCAGTCTAAAAAAAATAATAAGTGAACTTTGTAGAACTGTGTATACTGGCACGAGAAATGTCTACACAATATTGTTGGACAGAAATGAGCACGATACGACGTATTTGTAATTCTAATGTAAAAATTGAATCATAAAAAAGGTTTGCAGCAATATATAATTTCTGATTTTGGAATGAGTAATTTTCTTGTCTTCTTTAGGGTTCTCTGATTTTTTTTCACAATTACTTTTTTTATTAAAACAGTATAATTTATGGGGCTGGGGATTTAGCTCAGCGGCAAAAGCGCCTGCCTGGCAAGCGCAAGGTCGTGAGTTCGGTTCCCAGTACCAGAGAAAAACCAAAAACAAACAAACAAACAAAAAAAAACAGTATAATTTTCACTTTTTAGGAAGAAAAAAACAGAAGCACAAGTGGTTACACAGGAACCCAGACAACTTTCTTTGGAGTTGAAAGGTACACAAGTCTTTCAACTCAAATAATCATATCGAAGATTAAAATTATGGTAATTTATTTACACATTGTTTTCCCTCACAGTTAATACAGACTTATTTTCCTGGCTGGTACAGCCTATAGGCTAATCTACTGCAGCCATTTTTCTTTGTCACAAAATCTAAGTTGATTCTTACAGTTTAGTTTTTATATTATTTTAAAAATGTTTGTAATATGCATATACTTTTATTATAACAGAAATTATATTTAAATTTTAATTTTTTACAGTGTTAGCAATTGAACCTAAGTCCTTGGACATGCTAGATAAACACTTTTATCAACTATGTACGCAGGCCTATTTTAATTTTCAAAATTAAAATTCTGCCTTGAAATAGCATTTGAAGGTCTGCCTCTGCTACATCTCAAACTAAGCAATTATAGAATAAAACTAGATGAAGACTTATTAAGAACTTATGTGTAGCATTATCCTTGAAATTGCCCTTGGCTATGAATTGAAAGCCCTATGAAGTGATGCATTTTAATAAGACAAAGAGAGATCTGGGCATTTTGGGAAGTCTCAGTTTGTTAATTATTCATTCATCCTTCAATTCATTGCTCTGCTGCACATTTGCTGGTAACATCAGTAAGATGTGTGGGCATTCTGTAAATATTAAGTAAGCAACATATTAGACCAGACATTAAGGTAGACCCAAATAAATATTTCCTGATTTTCCTTAACCTCTAACCAGAGAAATTGTAGTAATATAGCAGGTACAAAGTAAGAAGTGATTTCCAACAGCAAGCTGCCTGAGGATAGCATAGGAGCTGAATAGAAGAGACAGGATCTATGGGACTGAGAAATGCAGAATCTTACTAGAGGCAGAAGGGGTACACTAAGCCATGGGAACATGGTTAAATAGTGATAAAGGGGCTGGACGCGGTGCACACACCAGTAATGTCAGCTAACTGTGAGACAGAGACAAGGATGATCACAAGTTTGAGTTCTGCTGGAGCAACTTAGCAAGACCCAGTCTCATAATTTAAAAAATTCTTTGAAAAGGGCCAGGATGTAGCTGAGTGGTAGAGCATTCCTGGGTTTGACCTCTCTCAAAAAAAGTTATGAAGGGAACCTCCTTCACTTTGCAGCCAATACCACAATAAAGTGGAACCATGGATTTTAAAGTAGTCAAGAGAGTTTCCAAGAGAGTTGTAATAGATGATCAGATCTGAGTTCTTCTGGAAGAGGGAGGGATAATGGAGAAGACACATTTGGTATACATTCTCCTACTTCAAGCACTCTGACGATAAATACATTGACAGAGAGAAACTAAACATCCCCCTGATTAAAGTCACTTAGAGAAAAGAAATCTAGAATGTGAACATTTAGCATGTGCCAAGAAGAACAGAATATGAAGAGATAACGCAACAGGGAAGTCAAGGAAATTTGCCCTATTATTTTTTAAGTTTTCTCTTCAGTGCACAAAATCACCACTTCTCAATGTCATGTAGCCAAAATCTGCCATCTTTCACTTCCTATTCCTCATAACCCTGGGCTGCCTGGGCTAGCTCATGTGAATTTCAGGCCCAGCACAAAGGAACCAGTACCCACCCGATGACAGCTTTACACCAGGGCACTTCCCAGCCCTGTACTCACCTAGAACCACTGCAGTTTCTTTTCACTGTCAAGTCTGTAAAATCACCAAAGGTGAATGAATTGAGATATTTAAATTTTGATTGAAATGATATGTGTTTAAGTCCCCAGCCTAGCAAAAAGAGATATGTGGCTATAACACATTATTTACTGAAGACAGACCATACACAAAATTTGAAATAACAGGATTATAACAACAACAACAAAAAGCTAAAAAA